ACAATGAAGCTATAACGCTTCTTCTTCTTGTTTCATTGTTCAGTTCGTACAGTGACATACATAAAACGTGTAAGAAAATAAAAGATTGATTATATTGAGCGATTTAAAAATGATGAAAACGGAAGTAGTGAAAACACCGTAATTGAAAATTTTTCTTAACTTCGTTATAAAGCTAATTGTGAGCTTTATATACAAACAATGATAAAAAAATTGACATTAATTTTTATATATATTTCTAATTTTATATACTTTATATATTATATCAAGATTTCTTGATATAATATATAAGCAAGCTATATAATTTTTCCAAAAATAATTCGTATTTTATACTATAATATTGCGCACGAGTGAAAAAGCTCTTTAGGTACGTACATGAAATATTTCAGATAATATTTCTTTTCTGTAAGGGATAGCTTTGAATACTTTATCTCGTGCCAAACTCATCGGTCCTTAAACTTTTTCGGCAAAATGTTACCTTCATCACATCATCCCTTTCTTTCCCACAACTCGCAGCATTATTTTTTATAGCTATGGATCTTGTAATGTTGCTATAATTCAACTCCGGAAACGCAAGCAGATAGGAATTATCCATCCCGTAACCGTCACGATGTTCCATGTTGAATAATACTATTTAACTTCGCGATTTAGTAATCGGACGGAGATGCATTTATGAATATAAAACGTGCACGTGTATCCTCCCACCTTCCCCAAGAGACAGGAAATTACATAGCTCTTTTTTTTACGGCAAGCAAATTTTCACAGATTTAAATCCTCATCACGTGGAAATTTATAAATGGCGAAATTCGCGCAGTATCGCACAAATGTATTTGCCAGTTATGTAACTTCTCTCGCTTCTACGATTATACTCGAGTTTTAAAAATATGTCGAAATGAAAAGCTGTGCTCCTGTTTAATATATATATAAATATTATTAGCCGTCTATGAGGCTTTTAACTTTAGAATAGCTACTGAATAATACAGTATTACTATCGATACGTAAGTTTTACGTCCGAGGAAATAGTCCACTCTTAATTAATGTAACACACAAGATTTTTATACGTTTCAAACTTTTATTGGCAAAGTATTATTCCCGCACGAGAGGATTAATCAGTATAATCCTATGGGCTTAGCTAACCCACGAGCTCAATACATTACGGACATACATATACAGCTACACACTTTTGACTTCGTTCCGTCTTGCATAATATAATACATACCTCGATTTTGACCTCCCTGGTCCGATCGATTTTCATCCATTTTTCGTCTAGTACAAATATCATTAGATGGTTATAGCTAGGATCGTCTCCAGTACACGGAGATGCGGCTATATTTATAGAGAATAATTAGACAAGAAGAAGACAAAATATTATGACCTCGTTTACTAGAGTAGATGGAAGAAATGGGATATTTGCGGACGGCACGTTAAATTTACACGCGATAGTATTTTAAGGGGTTAAAGATGTATTCGCATAATAAATTAATTAGAATTTTTTACGTAGTTCCTCCAATATGAAGCTATTTATTAAAATCACATATGCATAGATAAAGCATATTTGTGAACATATCTCAGGAATAATTAATATCATCGTAATATTAATTATAAAAATATTATTATGTACATCGATATTGATATTATTAACTACGGGTATTAAACATTGGCAATTTTTTTTTCTGTAAATCTGTATCCTAAATGGAATCCTAAAAATGGAATGAAAAGCGATATACACGCTCGAGAAATTAGTTACTCTAATCTTAATTTCAATACTTATGAAATCTCTCAGTAATTTTTTCTCCTTTAATTTTCTTATACTGTCCGCGCGTCTCTCTCTTTTCCTTCTTTTTCTTTTATCGCGGTCTTTCTATCCCATTGGCTTTCTATCTCGCTCCAAAGAACGCTACCAAGATTCTTTGATAATTTCCCTCGCTTTCTACCTCCATTACATTTCGGAATTTATAAAGGAAATCGTATCTGCGGTAAAGATCGATAAAATAAACGTTGGACAATACCAACAGATTTCAACGCTCCGTAAAATGTAGAGAGAGCAATTGTTTATCGTCCATCTTTTTACTGAAGATTAATACGAAGGCACCTATTGCATAACAAGCAAAGCTCCTTTGTCTCTCGATTTTTCATTCGAAGGTTACAGCAACAGAACTTACTCGGAATATTCCCGAAGCGCTCGTAATAATTTTATCATTGCCGAGAAGAATCGTGCTGTATTTAATAATGATCGGCGCAGTATAAAAGGCTTTTATTCACTAGGTCGAAATACAATTTATGATGTTTAACGCGGGATATCGTCAATTAACGTACTATATGTACAAACTCAGCAAGTTTACTATTTTCTATGATATTGCACGTTATGGAAAGTGCGTTATCAGGTGTTTACCACGCGACTCTTCCCAGTCGCGTTTGGTGATTTATCGCTCGGCCGTGTGCTGAATGTAAATTACACGTGGACACATCCAGAATGGAATATCGACATTTTGCGGACCTTTATTGTATTTTGGCAAGACACGTCCCGTGATTTTTGTGATTCATATATGCGAGAAGAAATTATGTGAGACATACAGTATGTGCATAAAATGCATTTCTCAAACAAGGCGTATATATATTTGCGCGCGAATAAATTGTATATTGTACACGTTGTCTTTTAAAGACGTTTTAATTTGTTTCTACATACCGTAAGTAATTTTCAAAAATGTAGCAGTAACATGTCTTTTCACAGTCAATTGCTAATAATACTTTCTTATTAGGTACGTAACAAAATAAAATATAGCGTGACAATTAATAACTATAAATTACCTGTCATTCTTCAACAACGATAACTTCGCATTATCATTGTTGCTTTCGTCCTTAATTATGTAATTTCGATGAAATCGCAATGTGGAAAGATATTTCATTACCGTATATAATACCTTATTAACATAATCTGAAGATTTCCACATGCTCATAAATTCATAATGATTTAATCCGCGAATAAATTATCTAACAATCGCTTGAAATTAATTTTCTATCACTAATACAACTTATATGTGAAACCTATATTTTTAAATGATTCTTACTCGAAGACAGTATTGAGTATTTTTACTACTATATTATAGGAATTATATTATCTACACGGAAAGAACGATTTTGTTGAAAGATCTAAAAATTTTGCTAAAAACAGATCTGAAAATAATTTTTTATTAAATCATCAGAATAATTTGTTGGAATGTTAAAACTGATAAGCATTGCTATAAAACATTTTAATATTTTAGCAATCATTTTGACTTTCGCACAAAATTATTTTGATTATTGAACAAAAATTATTTTCAGATCTGGATTCAGCAAAAGTGTTCTTTCCATGTAACATTGCTACAGGAATTGTACTAATATTTCTTGAGAAACGCGCATACGAAAAAAACGCGAACTTACAGATGCTAAATAATTTCAAATAATGTACGAATATCTATAGAATAATCGGAAATAATTTTACATTTAAATTTAAAATAATTTTAATTTAATGTTAGGCTTCGAAAAGCTGCTAAAGCACTAACGAATTTTAAAGTGTGTAACAGCATGCTGTTCGCCGAAACAAAGATTATTGAACGTTGTTTACTAATCAATTCTTTTATTGCCATCACAAAATATTTAACGGTAATTTATAAAATGTAAATGGAATGTCGAATATTTCGTTTCTTGCATTTAAAATTAATTTTGATAAATGAAATATTATCGCACATTAAATCTGACGTTTATTTAAAGAATAAAATGATCTATGTTGTTAACTTGAATGAAAATGGCTATTTAATTGATCTACAAGATTAATATAACAGCTGTTCAATCAGATTGTTAATTGGCGAACGTCAATTCTGTCAAGTCTGAAAAACATTGCGTCTTTTGGAATTTCATCGGTTTTCGGTTGTTCCTGCATATCGGTTTTCGATTGCGACTACGAGTTTGTGCTCTTCGCAGGAGGACGGAAAGTAATTTGGGGCAAACAATACCCGACCCTGCATAGGCCGTATAACAAATTGAATTTCGAATATTACGTCTATTTGCCGAATGCCTATCGTGGTAGGTTTTCACTGCAATACGTGGTAATCATTTAGCGTTTGACGAGGATTGTCGAAGACTGAAACAAGTGAGCAGAAAGCGAATGCATCTCGAAATCCCTTTCTATCCGATTTTACAAGGGCAAAATGTAATTCAACCTTTACGATAAAAAATTTAGAGACGCCTATTGGCTCTGACAAAAAAAAATATATATTTATTTACTTTTAATTTATATAGCTAATTTATGTTTATATCCGTTACTGTCTACATATAAATGTTTAAGATGCAAGATGCATTGATATGTCAGTAGATATATATTTTTTCATGTGTTTAAAGTTTTCGTTGCTTGTTATTTAAAAATACGGATTTTTAGAATTTACAAATCGTTAATAAATCTACAATTTATTCGTTCATTTAATCAAATCAATCTCTAACAATATCTATCTTAACTTAAGTGGTTCAATATATAAAAATACAGAAAATGAATTACACGGTGTATTTTCGAAAGACTGTTTCTTTGGTCAAACAACTTTTTGCTCGGAAATTGATCTATTAACAATCCAATACCGTCGATAATAATCAGCTGCATTTTCTCGGCAGAAATAATCATCTCCTCCAAAGAAATTCAGTCCGCTAATTGTGCGATTGGCCAATCAACTGACTTATCGAGTTTTCGCAACAGCTTTAAGGCCACTTCGTAATATTGAAAGACTTCCATGATTCTTTATGATAATGACTTCATTATGAAACTAGCTGTAAAACTAGACAAGTGATTCACTAAGAAAAATTGAGAGGAACGAAAATGTTAAGGTATTTAACAGGTCATTTAATGAGTGTAACGTAAACGAGATGTCGACGATTATTCAACAAGGATAATGGGTATAAAAAAAAAGCGCGAAGTATCGCATGATGAAGAAAACGATGATCGAGTTCGGTAGCTGGTACTGTCCAGCCTCGCGGGACTAATAATGATCGTAATCGTGATGATCGTCCTGTTGACGATCGTCTCGGAGGCTGTTATGCACTTTGGCATGAAATCCGTCCTTGCCCGCGCGGTACTTCACCGTTCTAATATTGCCATCTGGTTCCTTCACGGTATACTCCCCGAACACGTCCGTGCCTGCAAAAAACATCGACGTACGAGTTATTTGTCTTGCGCGTTGCCCCGCGGCACATTTTGGAACATGCGTTATCGCTCTTTTTTTATGGAGACGAATTGAGTTTCAGACGAGTGCGACGAAAATACAAAAACCGGGTTTTTTCGCTCTTTTTAGAAATCCATAACCACCTATATTCTGTTGACACGTTTTTCTCACGCGATTTAATAGTGAGAAAGTTTAAATTATCATAATGAAAGAAGAAATAAATGACTTAGAAAATTATCTCGGCTAATTTGTGTTATTAAAAAATGCACGAATTGATAGAAAAATCTACATATCTTCAAATTTACTATGCGTATGTATTTTTTATTTAATTAAAATTATAAAAAAATTTATTGAAGATAATAATCTCTGTTTGTACGTTTCGATTGTTGAATTAATTTGTGTATTTACATATGCGAGCAAATTTGAAATTAGAAATAAAATTAGTGCACTGTAAAAATAATTCCGTTTAAGTGATTGATAACTTACAATATATTTATTAAATCCAGATTCTATTATATCGCGGGTGGATTTATGTAGTACAACCGACATTTAAATGTAAAAACATGCCTCTCATCAAACATTAAATAAAGAAAATTATTTAAACGGGATTAATTTATCAAACGCAATAATTGATTAACTGCAATTTAATTTAACGTTTTTACGTATGCGCGCGTTTAATCTCCACAATTGTGGATTTCCGCTAATGCTCCATCAAAATATAAATATTTTATGACGTGTTACGTGACAGCTGAGTGTAGCATATACTTTAATGCACGTTTGTTAAATTTAGATCGTATTCCCCGCTCTAAAATATAAACGCAAACGAGATTTGTAATTGGCCCTAGTTATTCTAATTAGTTTCGCGTTGGCGAATACCGCGCGTTTCGCAGTTGCTCAGAGACTCTTCTATCAATAGCTGCTATCTAAGCTTTATATGGTTATAAACTTTTCAGCCGGCGCGCGTCTGCCTTTGAAGGTGGGAATACTGAAGCGTGGTTTTTTAGCAGCACACTTTTATCGTTCTTAACTTTTCTCTCGGCGCGTTGCTACGAAATCTCTCGCTCCAGTTAAAACTTGACGACGCTCGATGATCTCGTTTTACGTAGAGAAAATCGTGCTTTGTGGAAATACCATTACGAAATTATGAAAAACCAGACGATTAAAAACGACATTTGCTTTGACATTACGAAAATGTTCGTTTTATCTTGACAAGATTCTCGCTCCTCTAAGGCACCGTGTTCGCGAATTGCGATTATTGCGTATACAACAAGACAGACTGATTATAAAACGAAAACTCATATTATGTATATATATAATTTTTATACATAATTGTGCCTTAAATGAATTAGAAAATCAGAAAATTCTGTACATAATCAATATAATCTATGTAAAGCACATGATGTTAAAATTAGGAAGAAATGGTGACGCGCGCGAACGCGCTAAAATTCTCTTATTCCTTCAAATTCATTTTTAACATCGCAAACGGCATTAGTGAAATATTCTTAACACTGCCGATCGTTCGTCCGACGAACGATGAAGCGTATGTAAGTCAAATCAAGGAAATTACCATGCCCGTGTCTTTCCATTGTGTATTCCAAGAGCAACATTATAAAATTGCTCAAGCAAAGGTCACGTTGCCACTTTTATTCTCACAATCAGTCTGTCCTACGTTCACCCCGGTACATTTGTCAGCTTTTTCTCCCTCGGAGAGCACGGCATCGCGATTCCGCGTACGTAAGTAGGTTATTCTTATTCTCCCACTCACTTTGCGGGTTACGTACGAGAGATGACAAGAAGGATCCTCCTAAAGCAGAGGAGATTAATCTCCATTCAAACCTATGCAAACCTACCGTCTCTGTGCTCCTTTTGACCGTGATAATCGCCCGTATGGTGATCTTCGACCCCATACGAAAAGGCATAATGAGGATGAGCGACGTAGTCTTCATGATAGCCGTCGTCATCGTCCCAACTAACTTCGTGCTCGTTGCCCGACACGGGACCGTGGAAATGTTGGAAAGAGTGTGCGTGCCCTTCTGGCTCGGCATCGGTCATGAGCAAGGTCGAAAGCACCAACAGAACGACTAGAACGAGCTGACAAAAAACATATTAATCTCGTTAATCAAATTAAAATATTCTCGTAAATTAAATACTATGAAATTTATAACAAAATTTAAAGGACAAAATATTAAATAGGCAGATTAGGATAACAAGAAGAAAGCCAGAAAAAGAGCATGGCAACTTACACAGAACTATTAGAAAGACAAGAAATACAGAACAAAGATTCAGTTGCGGAAATATGATGGGTTGTATAGCGTTGACTAACAGAAGATAGGAAAATCAGCGGATTATGTTGCACGGTCAAGAGAAAACAGCTAAGAAAGAATCCACAATTCTAACAAAATAAGAGAATAGTTAGATAAATTGTTGGAAAAGAAAAAGATGAAATAGATACTAAACACAAAAAAATTTTTTAATCAATTTTTTTATTAAAAAGTAAAGAATATAAGATGTATTTTTTATTTATGTTAAAAATATTTAAGTTATTAAAATATTTAAGTTATAAAAATAATTAAGTTATAAGTAAAAATTTAATTATATATTATTTAATACTCAATATAAACAAATGCATTGTTTATATTGAATAGAATCTATCACTAGAATATAATTGCATTAATCTGTAATTTCACTTTGAGAATGCGCGTTTTATTATTCATATTAAAAAAACACTTCTCGGAAACAGATTTGAAAAACGAATAATTTTATTTTTATATACATTACGTGACAGATCTTGCACTCGATATTTTTCTATATTTTCCTATATTCTTTTTCTTTAATTCTTTATTCAATTATTTATATATATATATATAATTTCTTACTTTAAATTTTCACTTAAAAAAAATCTACTATTTGCTAAAGAATTTTTTAATTAAAAAAAGCGTGAAAAGAAATTAGCGTTTTATATAATACAATATATAATGTGTAAGAATAAAACAGTAGATTAACCCATTTCCAACCGCGAGAATCAATCAAATCCCGAACATATCCGCTTTCTATTGTAATACGAACAAAATGTGCTGACACATGCGGACTTTAATGACTTTCCGCGAAGAAGAAGTGCTAAAGTTGGCGTGCGGTCTGAGGGTGACACGTGAGATAATCGCGCGATATGCACTCACTTCGGAAGTCATGATGCCAATTACTGTCGCAGATCGTGCCCCCGTTTTCGCGCAAAACGCCTGATTGATCCGTGCGATCCGCGATCGTCCCAAAAACTGCGCGGCTCGCCCGGTGCCATTGTACCTTTTATAGATCCCGCATTTCGAGTTCCCTCTTTGCTTAATTCTTCTTTGGATCCGTGCCCGGAGAGTTCGGCTAAGCGCTCCCGCGCACGCGGACGTTGCAAAACACAATTATTCAACCGGCCCCGGCCGGTGCAAAAAGCGCCGCGCGGTGCTCGCTCAAGCGCGCATCGGCCAATCCCGGACTAATGGAGCCCCGGCTCGTTGCGGAAGAAGGGCGAAAAAATGGAATCGCCGGACTCGTTCGTTTCTTTCGCGCCGCGACACGCGCGTATCGATCAGGATGCCCGCCGCCGCGCGCGCGATCGATGCCATCGAACGAACGCCCGTCACGCGCGACAACGCTCACGTCACCGATGCCGACGATTTTGTTGCCGGCGCACCGAAAAACTACTCCCCACGGTCCATTTCTCTTAATGCGCGTCCTTCCTTACGCAAGTTCCCGTTTGATATACCCGGGGGCCGAATCGACATAGACGATGGAACAGAGTAGAAACCATAGTAACGGCCGGGACAAAGAAATCGTGTAGATATCGCTTTCGCATCATCGAATAATTGAAAGCAATCATTATATACTTTGACAGTACGAGCTGCTTACGACAGTCATATAAAAAAAAAACATTAATTGTTGGCATGTTTCAATTGATTATGAATATTTTTTAACAATATTTTAAACGGTGAATAATTAACGTTCGGATAAATTATTGATGATGCAAATGAAAATACAATAAATTTGTGTGTACACGCGAACTCATTGTTTGATATATTTTTTTATTACATTTTTATGTTTTTAATTCGATCCAAATTTACCAAGTTATTAAATAGTCTGCATTAATTTTAAAATTATTATATGTAAAAATACCTCGTAATTTATTGAATTGATCTGGTTGAAGTTTCATAAATTTTTTTCATTATCGAGTAAATCGATGGACGATCCGCGTCCAACGTCGGAAAACTTCAAACGCCATACTTCACGTCGTTGCAGATAAAATAATAATGTGTCAAAAAAATTTGCAGAACACTTGATACTATCGAATGGTCCTCGCGCATATTAACAAAAAACGGAAAGACTCCGTTAACTCTCTCGTGTACAGAGGGAGGGGGATGGCGCGAAACGGAAAGATGAGTGAAATGGGAGAGGAATAGGAGAAAGGGGGAGAGGGGAGGAGGAGGGGTGGCTGGTACGGGCGCAGGGAGACGACGAGAGGACAGATTCTGGCACACAATGTGCTGGAGCGGCGGAAGTGCTCGAAGAGGCGCTCAGGTTTTGAGTTATGACACTTTTTGAGTCGAGGAGTCGCATTGTGAATGGCGCATCCGGGTCCGGCGTAATATCCTACCTCGATCTCAGAGCGGAGGGTGGCGATAAATCTGCCTTAAATAAGATTTGCCGGCGACACTCCGGCGAAATAAAAGGAGGAACGGTGGCGGGCAGGCAGCGCGCGAGCTGCAAGATGCCAGCTTGTTACTTCTTCGACTTTAGCCCGTTGCAGCGTTGATGTGCTTCGCTCGCCGGTTCATGCCGGGAGTTAATGAGTAGCCTGGAGTCTTCGTCTTCATCCTAATTGCGAGAGCGCGCTACGGCAACGGTAGCGGCAACAGCAGTTTCTTCGCCCTCAATTTCTCGTCTACTGTGATGACTCTTGCCGTATAAAGGAAATGACGAAGTGCGCCTTCGTCAAGATCCCTTTTTACGAACCTCCGCACTCGAAGTTTATTCGCCGCCTATTTCCGTCGAATAAATTATACAAATTAGCGAGAGGATAATGGAAGCGATATCAAGACGTCATCATAATCACAACAATAATAATAATTATTTTAAATTTATTTTAATGGATTTTAAATATTTTAATATTTTTCTTCGGAATTTGTATGTCGGTAATGAATATATGTTTTTATTATATACTTTATAATTAACATCCATATTATAAATATCGCGAATCCTTTCATAATAACCATCTTTCTTTAATATTATTAGCATAAATATAAATTTGTTATTAACATCGCACTTTATATAAATTGTAACTTTACATAACTTAATTATTATCTCCATACTTGGAATAATATGTTTGTGCCAATTATTAGTTTATTATTCTTATATTATTCCCCTGCGTCATAAAATAAATCCATTATCACATGAATCTTAATATCTGATATATTCCGAGTATACATATATGCGGCACACACACATATATGTTCCACTTTTTATTACATTTATTTTGTGCTGACAATTTTTATTGGAAAAAGTGTCAAATGAAATTATTTCAAAGAAAGTTCACTTGATTGAAAAAAATAATTTCCTTTTATCAAGCTTAGTTTACGAGGAGTCTCTTGTTTTTAATAGCTAATTATTTTACCATAGCAATATGGATCTTCTCCTTGAGGAGAAGATTTTTCAAGAAAAATTAATTTCGGATTGGCCAAGAATCTTTAAAAAATAGAACGGTAGAGAAACGACGTACTGTATACAAGTCTATCATTTTCCTTCAGTCTGTTCGTAACTAGAATGTGTTACAGTAAATTAATTAAGAGTTCATTTTGAAATAATTAACGTTCGTCGAGCGAAGAAATTCACGACTCTACCTGGTGCATAAAAGGGGAGTTACCATATCATGAGAATATCCGAATAAATGCTGCAGAACGAAAACGACGGCAGCTTCTGCGATTGCGAATTATGTATATAGTTTCTCGAGTTTTATAGTCTCTTGGAATTATGAAGTTGCATTGTGAAAGTGACGGCAATAAATCAGCCTCAAGATTAAATTGTAGGAAATATGATTTGTTGCTGACGTAAAATAGCGGGGAAACGCGAAAGGGAAATTCCAGTAGTTTACGTCTGAATTTATGTTGACGTATGTGCTTTTTTCACGATAATGCGCATTAATTATTTACTCGGGGTATTTATAAATTTTTGTTCGCTTTAAACGCAACGTCGCGAAAGGAATTAGAATTGTAAATATAATTCAAGCTTTAATAATTTCTAAATAATCATTTTATTTCTTTATCGCGATAATCAATATTTAAAAAATTCTTTTCTCTGACTGTATAAAATAACAAGTTATTAATAAAATAAAAAAATATTTTAAAGTATCGGATTTGAAAATTAATAAAGTCAGATCAGAAGAAACAAAGATACATTTTGTTAAAATAATGAATATTTAATTACTTGAAAAGCAATAATTATAATTTACTGAACACAGTATCGTTACTAATTTATTTTCACAGGATTAAATGCTATGAATTATGTTCTATGCTAGGCGTATAAACGGTGTAATTCGGCAATTCCATGACAACCGCACGATTAGTAAAGTCTCGTCCACCACTGGTCGCGATAATTGTCATTTCATTTCGCGGACAATTATTGGCGTATCTTTGGTGCGGACACGTCAGCCGCACTCACGTGTGCAATCCCCAGACAAATTTTGTAATTTCATCGCGCGCGCGCGCGCGCATCACATGGACCATCGAGACCACTCTATGAAATGCAATCCGTGTTTCCGTCTGCATCCTGCGGGACAGGCTCTCACGACACGAGACAGTTCACGCGTGGAAACAGGACAAATTGGCTGGCGCGTACATTAGACGATAAATCACCATATTTCATTTTATTTTGCCCCTTTCCCACCGGGAAAATCTGTGGACCGTATATACGCCCGCATTTCCGGCTGTCGCCTCGCGCCTTCTCTCGTTTGCTTCGCTAACAGCAAGTCTGCATGCACGTTACACACAATGACACAATGACCACGGCGACTCGCTTAACAAACTATCTCTTTTACCCGTTTACGAGTGTTTGATTTCATAAATACCTTTGAATAAATCATTTATTGTTATTGACAATGTTATTAATTACTGCTCGCGTATTTGTTTGTTTGGACGTGACATTTAACTAGATATTAGTATTTATTTTAATAACGTTTCAACAACTACGAAATTTAACTAAACATCAGCATTTAATTTAATATTGTTTCAACAATTAAAACGATAAAGTAATAAATTTTAGTATAAGATGTTTTTTTAAAGCTTGCATTATTAATCTTGAAATATTGATGTAAAAGTTTTGAGATAATTTTTAGACATATTATCATTATGACTTATTAAATACATATTAAAAAGTACTTTAAATTAAGAAAAATTCTAGAACATTTTAGCTAATTTTTATAAATTGAATTTTTATACGTGTTCGACGAATTCGCGCTGATGTTGAATGGGCGGCGCAAAGCCGTAAAAAAACCACCCTCCGGGATAAATCCCGGAGAGATCAGCGTTATGCTCGTCGTCCGCATATCGCCGAGATGCCTCCTTTTATCCGCGGTCGCGCACGCGCCAAGGCATCGTAACTATTCCGCACGCTGTAACTATACGGTCGAGTGTCTTCGGGATAAATTCCAAGGAAATTGTTCCGCCCAGAGAAAGACGAATAGTTCTGTTTGTCCACGAATTTCGAGCCGTTCTCTTCAGCCAGCGCGATCCTCGCCGCGCGTGTCTCTTTCTCTCGTTTATGGGTCAGAATCTTGCTTCAACATCAGCCGTAAGACGTAACGCGATGCGGCGTCGGGTCGTGTCGCGTCGCGTCGCGTCATGCGACGCGACGCGGCTCGGCGCGGCCCGGGACACCTCCTTGACCCTTATTCGCAGCACCGGAATCCCAAAACAACTGAAGCATCCTCAGTGCGCCGCAGAGCTGCCGGCAGATATTCGCTCGAAAGTTTTCGCGTAATTGCGCGGAGATGGAAGTGCCGCGCGGAAGCGAGAGTTCCGGAGAGCACAGCCGTTTTCAAGCGTCCACACGGATGCGGGTGGGTGGATGCTTGAAAATTCGCGAAATTCGATGGAAATATCGCGGCGAAGACGCCGCGACTCGTCAAGAGTTTGCCGGTGAACACCCCTTC